CTGCTCCAAACCTTTCAAAAAATTACATGTTTATCATGGATTTCAAAACTGTTTTCACTTTCAAAATTTAAGCAGACTGTTCTCTGCATTTTATCTAATGAGTTTAGAAGAACGGCTACAATTCCTTCCGGAGACACGAGGAGGCTACTTGCCGTAATCTGCTCCATAATTCCCATAATTCCCATAATTCCCATAATTCTCCCAGTGGAGTTAATGCTCCACTGGCAAAAGCAAAACCATTAAGCTGTAGATTTGGTCAAATTAGGACCCTTGCCTTTTTGATGACTTTGTTTTATATCCTTCGCTTGGAGGGTAGACACATGGAGAAACACAGACTGCTTTGGCTGTCTTCTAAATCTCATCCCAACTTTAGAAATCAACACATTGCAAACTGTGCACATTTATAGGTGAAAGGATCCCAGTGTATATCTGTGTATAATATGGCATAAACGTCGCACTACATAAAAACACTTGTACCCTGTGTTGTTGCTCATTTATGGCAGCAGGGCTAAATCTTTAGAACACCCAACAATTACCTTCTTAGGAACTTCACATTTGATCGGGATACCTCAAGATTCAATCAGGTTGCTTCGGAACCACCTTGTTGGAAGCCTACTTTATACCCTTTGCTGTATCACCATGTATGGTATGAAATGTAAATATGCCGTGCCTTGAAAGACCTAGAAATATTTTCTACAACACTTTTGCTTACAATGGGACAATATACTCTACCAGATGCCTCTCCTTCTGAAAAATTAATTTTGAATTTTCCTGCCAGATGGCTTCGTGTCACGACTTTATTTTAGAGAAGTTTTAGAGCAGGGTTCTTTTATTTGTATGTGCCTCCCTACGTGTCTCATTCTGTGTCTAAATCGCTAGCTTTTAGTGGACTTGTTTTACGATTTTATCTGGCACATAAGTGATAATACCACCCATGACTTAACATTAAAAGTCAGTTTTGCTCCAGCAAGGTTCTTCTAAAACTCTTCCCGTTATAGGTGTTTTCAAGAATGACGCATACATGTGTGGACTTAAACGGACCTTCTTGCCACTTCTAGTACCTTCTTTGTTTCACACGTTGATTAGTGTAATGATTGAATACACACAGTCTACCCTTTTCATACCAAGGATTGTTGAGCATTGTTCTGTCTTGTCAGTTAGGACTTGTTGTCTTTTCACTCTTACCAGTGTTTCTGGCGCTGGGATGCTGGCTCCCTCCTGTCCGGTTTCCCCATTTGGGGTCCCTCATGTGCAGGGTTGCTCTGTCTCTAAGGGGTTTTACCCCGATCCTGTAAATCATGGGACTTGGTGCCGCTCTGCTGTATTCGAACACTTCTGTCTGGGGCTGCACTTCAACCCCAACCGGTTGTGGGTCTGAATCTGCCGCACCTTGAACTCTCCCCTCTGCTAGAGTGCTGGTTTTCTGAACCCAAACAAACATTAAAACCCCCACTCATAACATAAATCTAATGTTTTCACTTCAGCTTGACTGACTCCCAGGGTAGCCAGCATTGCATCGTTAGGAGAGAAGCATGATGTATGGAAAATACTTGGCTCCGGTCCAGGATAGCTCAATAAATACTTGTGGATGAGCCTATCAATCATTTATTGACTTATCTCCATGTAAATATATGTAGATGATATCACTAGGACTGTTACTAGAAGTAACAAACATCTCCGTGTTGTTAGCTTCTAAAATATATGGGACACCTAGTGACACGGAGAAGCAAGACAAGGAAGGTACTTCTGTCTACAGTTCAAATATTAGGGTAGGGGTGCTTGGGTGGCTCAGTTGGTTAAGTGTCCGACTTCGGCTCAGGTCATGATCACACGGATCATGAGTTCAAGCCAGTGTCAGGCTTTGTGCTGACAGCTGGGAGCCCGGAGCCTGCTTGGGATTCTGTGTCTCCCTCTCTCTCTGCCCCTCCCCCACTCATGCTCTGTCTCTGTCTCTCAAAAATAAACATTAAAAAAATTCAAATATTGGGGCACCTGGGTGGCTCAGTCGGTTGAGCGTCCGACTTCAGCTCAGGTCACGATCTCGCGGTCCGGTCCGTGAGTTCGAGCCCCGCGTCGGGCTCTGGGCTGACGGCTCAGAGCCTGGAGCCTGCTTCCGATTCTGTGTCTCCCTCTCTCTCTGCCCCTCCCCCGTTCATGCTGTGTCTCTCTCTGTCTCAAAAATAAATAAATGTTAAAAAAATTCTTTTGCAAATATCAAGGTCTACATATAACTGCTTCCTGTGTCCCATCATATCAAATACTGATTAAAATGATTTTTGTATGTTTTTGATTTATTTAGAAAATGTATTATAATTCCTGTAGTTACAGATAAGTGCAACTTATTTTTTTAAGAAGAATTGGATTTACACAATTTAAGGAGGAAATGAAAATAAATAAATATATAATAAATGCATAGAAATCAACTTATAATAAACAAATATAGTGCATAGGTAAAATCCCATTATAGCTTGTATGTAAAGGGTTTGTGTTTCATAACTGGAATTTAATTTTGAATTACTTGTTGCATTTTTTTATTTCAAAATATGTCTTTGGTTTACTTTGATTTATTTTTGGGTTATTGATATTCTCTGGTCTCTGACATGCCTGGTGTGCACCTAAAGTATACTACAATGAAAATGTGGTGCCACCATAAATTAGGTTTTTAGTATTTCAAGTTGTAATTAAATTTATACCAAGGGTATTTGAAGTATTTCTTTTTCAGGGTCAAATAAAAAAAAAATAGTGACATATGGTAGGTGATATCTCTAGGCCGTGGTAGGAAAAATCGTGAAATTTACACGTAGTTACAGTATATGTTCTCCAGTTGAGAAAGAGATAAATTAGACTTGTACCAATAAAACAAGAAAAAGGCCTAAGTGATCGTACTTTCCCATATTTAGCAATTTTGTCATATCTAAAAAGCCCCAATTGGCTTGAAAGATTGTGCCAGGGATTAAAAACAAATGCTACTCAATGCATTTTTAATATATAGCCATTTAATATGGCATTTAATATATAGCCATTTAGGGAAATATCAATTTCAACTTAGAAAACCTTTATGATACACTTCATACCTGCTCATCCCAGATAAAATCAATGTGTTACAAGGCTTGAAATCATCCAGCTAGTTTATGTACCGGTGGTGTCCAATTCTGGTGCACATTCTGTAGCATGGTTTTTCTCAGATGAATAATCACACTGGTGGTAAAAGATGAAGATACTTTCTCTCTTTGCTTCAGTTCATCTCAGGTTTGGGGGGGAAAGTGAGGCAAACTAGTTGCTTCTCAAACTTTAGTGCACACAAAACCTTAAGGATGGTGTTAACGTGGTCATTCTGCCTCAGCAGCTGTGAGCTGGGGCCCACACGGTGTGTCCTTGTCAGACTCTCATAACATGCTTTGTAAAGCAAGGAAGTGGAGGAATTTGATGCCTGCCGGTTGACCATTCAGTTACCGACCTCGAGAGATGGGGGCATTTACATACCTGCACTGGGAAACTTGACCTGTTAATTTGACTTGACTTTGCCCTTTCCTTAACATCACACACAAGGAGTCGGTTAGCTCTCTGTGAGGATTCAAGCAATATAATGCGTCCAGTACAATGATCCGTCCGTATCAATGTGCGTGGTTGCCGTTGCCCGGACCCAGAGCCTGCTGCACCAGGGAGCATATGCGGAGTCACATCGGCTCCTGCTTCCAGACGCACGTCGCGCGTTCTGTAGCCATCTTGGATTTCTGAATAATTTTATCCTTGACCTCGTGGTTTTTAAGTGAAGCCTGATGGAACAACAGAGGGTGCACCGATGAGAGGAGGTGTCCCAGCCACGGCGCCCACACACATGCACACAGTCCTGGGTGGGAGGCAGGCTGCGCACAACCTCATCTTGCACGGCTGCCTGCATAGACCTGTTCTTCCGCTTCCCACCAATTTTTGCCTCTGGGTTGACTGGCGGGCTTCCCCACCTTCCCTGTCCCAGCCGTAATACCCAAGCGTCCCCCCGTCCCAACCAGGTAACGACTCTGACCCATTCATTCCTGTTAGTGTCAAGAACAAGAACTGAAGTGTACGTCCAAGGTCACAGGAAGAATTTTAAGCTGGGCTCCTCTGGGTAATGTCCTTCCCCATCTGTCACCCTGGATAACCCCTCAGTCTGTGTAAACTGGGCTGAGAGAAGACACGCCACATTGATACAAAGGGGTATTTGCAATCACCGAGTCCTTAGTGCCGGCCCATGTCCAATGTATTGTTTATTCTATAAAATGCCATAGCTGCATATTTTGTTATTTGTTCTATGGGGTTTATATGGAGAGGTATCAGTGTTAAATACTTAGAGTTAATTTTTCTGTACTTTCGGCCAACAGCCGGTATTATATGACGCATTAAAGAAATCGTTAGTGCCCTAACTGAAGGCGATTCCATTGAGAAACGTGTCTGATTACAGCCTTAGATCCATGGATATTGGTCCTGTTCACCCACGAACACACTGCTCAAGAGGATTTTGTTGTTGTCTTTAAATGAGAGCGAGACAGAACCTAAAGTATTCGAAGATTTGTTCTCATATTCTGTTTTTCCGGAAGGGTAGACTTCCCAGATGCACACTTAAAATGTTTCATAAAGATTGCCATCTATGCTTGAAAAACACAAAGCAAGCGACCATTGTCATGGATTTGGCATATAATGAGGAACATAATTTTAAAGGACCTTTTAGAATGGGTACATGTTGGAATTGGAGTGTGTAGGAGTAAACAGGGAAGTAGCAGACTTTATTGTCTGAAGACAAGCTTGGTTCGCCGCGTGATGTAAATGAAACGTACTGATACTTAAGAATTAGCTAATGACCGATTTAACGTTGCTTGTGGTCTTGGTAGTACCCCAGGAGAAAGAGTTAAGGCCTTTCGTTCTTCTCGTCGGGAGGAGAGTAGCCGAAGAACCTATCTGTTACTCGAGCCATAATGCCATTCGTATTACACTCCTCAGCACTTGTCTTTGCGTCTCCACAGCGGTGGGTCTCGCTGCGTGTCAAGAACCCGTCCTTCCCAGCAACGGCATCAAAACAGGCGATCGGTATATGGTGAACGACGTCCTGTCCTTCCAGTGTGAACCGGGGTATACCTTGCAGGTACTTTCCTTCGGAGATTTGGGAATGGCGAGGGTTAAACTTCGTGGTCCCTTCCCAGCTTCGGGGAAGGCAACCAGCGCCTGGGATCTGTACCCAGAGAAGCTCATCTAGTTTCTCTCACCCTGTTTGGGAATCGCAGTGGTCACATTAAGCCATGCCTGCTGGTCATCTTAATTAGAATGTGGAAGTAGCTCTAAATGATAAAGCCTAGCGTCTCAGTTTTGTGATTATTTTATTTCAAAATGTATGTTCTCCCAAAGAGTATGCAGAGAAAATTCTAAGGGACAGAGTCCTGACACGGTCTCTTTCTCCGTGTGACCCTGGCCACCCAGTGATGGGATCTGCTTTTGGGCGGTGTGTCTGTCCTGCTTTGTACCTCGGTCCCACATTCAGTTGGGCAAATGCCCATTCGGTACCTACTCTGTCCCAGGTACTAAGGTCCTCAAGTAATAGGTTGACATCGTTTTCAAGAAATATTGACAACTTTTTATCACTTTTTTATAATTTTATATGAAAGTTTTATAAACATCGATAACCTAATGTGTAGCGACGTTAGTTACTTTTTCTGTTAATTGTTTCTAGTCTAACTGCAAATAAGCTTACTCACAAAATAGTTTCTCTCTGTCACTTAACATAATGATATGACTCTCCCTGCCAACAATATTAATAATCTAAGCACGTATGTTACAAAGTCCAGTAGAAATAGTTAAGCCCGATGTTGTGTCTGCTCTTCAGTTATTTGGGGTCACAGAGTACTTTTTGCGGCATGCTTATGACAACATTGAAGCTCATGGTATTTCAAGGGGGAAATGTTTAGTTCTGGTCTTTAACTGATTTAATGAGCTTGAGGAAGTATCAGAAAAAAGTTGCAAGGTTCCAGAGTACAAGGCCACCACCGTGTATGATACAAGTTCCAGAGTGTGTTGGAGGGAGATGTTTTGCAGGGCCGAGACGGGTCACAGTGACAGCTCACAAACGCCGAGCGCGGAAGGAGTGCCCCCCAGGTGCCTCACCTGTGTTCCTCCTGGTCACCCACACGGGGTGGGAACAGGAGGCCTGTCTTTCACTGACGAGAAGGTGGGAGCTGAGCCGGGGGTGAGAGAAGGGGGTGGAACAGAAGAACTGGTAGGGCATCCCCGGTGGGGCCACGCTTGGGAATCAGCCCGGGTTGTGGGTTTAGAGGACCCACCCTTCTGTGTCTGCAAGACGCCTGACACACCCCGGCAAGGGAAACGCATCATTGCAGTCACGACGAACAAACACCCGTGTCTAAAGTCACCTGAGTAAGAACAGCCACAGCCTACAGATTTGGTGGGCGCTGCCGTAATTACTTGGACTCTGCAAGGAGATGGGCAGACCCTTCCTTGCAGAGCAGGACAAGAGTTACTGAGGAAGCTTTACTCCACCTTCTACAACTGAGCCAAGTTTTTAAACAAGCGTGCTAAGGCTATCTGAACTGATTCTTTAATACAAATCTTTTTTTTTTTTTTTTAAGTTATTTCTTTATTTGAGAGACAGCGGCAGCACGAGTGAGGGGGTGGCAGAGAGAGGGAGAGAGAATTGCAAGCAGGCTCTGAGCTGTCAGCACAGAGCCCGGTGCGGAGCTTGAACCCACGAACCGTGAGATCGTGGCCTGAGCCGAGATCAAGAATCAGAAGCAAAACTGACTGAGCCCCCCAGGCTCCCCTCTTTAAGACAAATCTTAAACAAGTTACAGTATAAAGAATTCTGAGCCACACCCCAAGGGTTCCATTTAGAGAGACACAGCAGGATATACTGATAGGCCGTCACGATGCCTCTTTCTGTGCACGTTGTAAATGAGCGCAGATCCCCACATGTTGGTACTTGCTTTGCTTCTGAATGCTCACCTCCTTCCCACTGATTCATGGTGCCACTTGGAGAATCCTTTTATAAGAGACACCTCTGCGGCCCTCCAAGAGGAAACTGGAAAGGATTATTCGGTAAGGGCCTTTCTTAGAATGCACCAAAGGGTGTGCTGCCTGCAGGTAAGGCCTGAGGACACACGTCTGCCGAGCACAGCCTGTTTTCCAAACGCAAACCAAGCTGTGTTGTCTTCATCACAGACAGGCTCCAGCTCTGACCTCACAAGCTGTTCTGGGTTGTTCACAGGAGTAAGGAAGCAGCCTGGATTTTTTGTTTTTAATTGCTAACGGTTGACAAGAATCTTCTAGCACAGTCACGTATTTGGAAGCACAGCGTGCATACGTTGCACATCATTTATGAAAAGCAGCCTTCCTCAGACAGTTTGCACACAAATGTCTGTGAGTGTGTGTGCCTAGGGAGGTTCCTGGCCGTGGCGCAAAGGTGCGATCACGTGACACGTTGAGAGGGATCCCGAGTGCTCGTGGGATTTAGGATTTCCACTTTCTGCAGGCTTGTTTCAGAGTTCTTTGAAGAGATGAAAAAAGAAAATGCCCATTCCAAGCTAGTAGATAATAGAGTTCTGTCTTGTTTTGGATCCACGATACACATTTCAGCTGGAATCACTAATGTAGAATGTCGGTGCTGGGGGCGCCTGCCTGAGGGGCTCAGTCGGGGAAGCGTCCCGCTCTTGATTTCCACTCAGGCCACAGTCTCAGTTTCATGAGTTCGAGCCCCACATCCGGCTGTGTGCTGACAGTGTGGAGTCTGCTTGGGATTCTCCCTCTCTCTCTGCCCTTCCTCTGTTCACACTCTGTCTTCCTCAAAATAATACATACATAGATGCATGCATACATACGTACCTACATGCATAAATAAAGTGTTTGTGCTAGAATCAATAACAGAATATGACCCAGATCAGTAATAAATGCCTCCTTTGTTGGTAGCCATCAATAAATACCTTGAAAGGCTTTTGCACTTTATGTCTGTCCATAATTCAGGAAGAAATTTATTAAAGATAGTTCAAGGGATCAGAAAATGAGTATACACACAGCATGAACTTTAGCAGGAAATGTGCTGCACAGAATGTCTTCTTTAAGAGTAAATATAGTCTCCTTTGGCTGTAATGGCTTTTTAACATATCAGAAAGTATGAGAAAATGAGTTTTGTGGCAGATGAATTGAGTATGAAATGTTTCTGAGCTCAGGGAACTGGTTTGTTATTGACAACTGCATTAACGCAAACGCTTGTTTGATGCGTTTGCGACATGGCGAGGATTATTTAGCATGAATCAAAGATTTGTTTTCAGCTGCGTCTGTGCCAGTCGTGGGTCAAACAGAGGCTCACAGCGTAAAGTACGCGTGGCAGAGAAGACCACCTACTCACAGGGAGGAAAACAAAGTAAACACGAGTAGTCTGCACACACAGGTGTCCCGCTGACTGCCTTCTCTTTTATTGTGAGAGATTTTCACACAAAACTCTCAGGACTTAAGCTGCAGCCGGTTGATTTTTCAAACACAAATAATAGGACAGATATTCTTGAAGGCTGCAAGTTCAAAACGTCATATATTTAAAGGATAAAGAGACCGTGGGTGACGAGGATTCATTTGACTGCAGCCACAAGTATGTGATGGTGTGCGAGGCGGTCCGATAACCGAAGGAATAGGAAGCGTCCTGTTCGTCTGGTGGAGGAGGGACTGACAGTTCTCTGTGGGACCATAAGGGGCGTGTGGGTGGAGTGGGAACCGTAGCATGAAAGGTGAGTAGGTAGGTACCTTTTTGTAAGCAGCTTGCATACTGCTGAACTTCCACCTTCAAATCAGTCACCTAGCATTTCCTAATCATTTACAGCCTCCAAGATCAAAAGCCGTAACTTCTGATGATTCAAAACAAAAAAGACAACCGAGGATGTGTTTATTTCCCAAGCCTCCTTGCTAAGCATCGGGAAACGAGCACATCCCAGACAGAGTGTTGGGTGGGCCAGTGCGAGATTCTGGTCTTTACTGAAGGGAAACACAGTGATTATGGATTTTTTTTTTTTCCCCATCCTGACTCGGAGCGTGGGATTCCTTGATTAACGTTAGTGGAATACATTTCACGATTTCTGACTTGACCTTCGATCAGAGAAGGAAACCCCAGGAAGGACAGAGATTCTCGCCTGTGACCCGCACCTGCCCCGTTTCCAGTGGCGTGAAGTCCGTTTCCTTGTCTCCCACAGGGCCGCTCCCACATTTCTTGTATGCCGGGAACCGTTCGCCGCTGGAACTACCCGTCTCCCCTGTGCATCGGTAAGGACGCGCCCGCGACACCGCCTAGCGGCGCACCTGCGCCGTCAGCCACGCGGCGGCCAGCCCCTCGAGCTCCTCTTTGGGGCTGCACACGGTGCACGTTGCGACTCCTCTCGAAACAGTTGTTACTTAACACGAACACCATAACGCGGTCGAGGCGCGAGAAAAATGGCCCAGGCGTCTTCTCCCACGGGGTGTACTAGTTCGGCTTTTTCATCATCTTCGGACCCGCCTGCGCGGAGTGGGTGTGAGATCGCCGGCTCGAGGCACCGGACCCCAATTACATTTGTATCAGAAGGGCCAGTGGATTAATTATGAGAGGGAATGAGCACAGCAGGTCTGAAAGCCTGGACGTCGTTCCGTGTCCGCCTTGGGGCCTCAGGAAGATCAGGTTTCCAGAAAACAAAGTCAGAAGTCCAAACAAATGATGTGAAGTGGGAGGGATGGTATCATATAGGAGAAACAGAGAGGTGCCGCCCCCCCCCCCCCAGCCGCTGCAGACGTGTCCCCTAGGACGGGGTGCAGCCCGCCCCTTTAGGGAAGCACGTGCCAACCCAGCCTTTTAAAGACGAAGATGTGCCCTGGGGCCCAGTTAGCTGTTGTGGAGAGTCCCAGGGGTTCCCTGGAACGGCAGGTGGTTTCCATTTCCCTCCTCTGTGGGAACACCTTGGAGTGTGAGGCCATGTGCGGTGCTCTTGACTCTGTAAAGTCTACGTGGGGTTCCTGCCGCCCAGGCCTCGAGCCCCGCCCACCGCCCACCAGCTGTAGGTCTGACTCAGACACCTTTACTCACAGCTCGGGTGACCACACGGCTTTGTCCGGTGCTGACCTCACCCGTGGACTCCGTGTGCCCGACCTGCACACCTGTTGCCTTCTTCAAACCCTGTACCCCCTTCCCAGGTGAACACCGTGATCGGCACCTTTCTTGAATAACCCGGATGTTAGCTCAGCTTCCTTCTCACCAAATCCGGGGTTCTTTGCCCTCGTGGGCCTGCGACCTCAATGCTCCCCAGTCGTGAGTCTCCCTTCCGAGGCCTCGGCTTTAGGATCTCACAGGCTTTGAGTGCCTCGTAGGCCCCTGCTAAGTGGTTGCCGGCCATCTGCACACGAGCCTGACCTACAGCCCCCGGTTTCGGGGCACCTCCTAGGACAGCAGGGGAAGGAGAGTCCTTGCTCCTGGCCCTGCAGCTCCACCCCCTCACCCCACCCCGCACACACCCCCGCTCTGCATGCCCACCCCCCCCCCCGAATGCCCCCGGGTGCCTGCTAGTTCCAGCCTCCAGGCACAAGCCCTGCCTGAGCCCCGCCTCCTGCATCTGCGCCCCCGCATCAAGGGCCAAGGCAAGGGAAGGTAGGAGTACCTCCCATCGGTGTTTGAAATGTTGATATTTTGTTCATCACAGGGTTTGTTTCTGGTTGTTGTTGTCGCTGCTGTCGTTTGCATTACTTTTGAAGTTGCACCAACAGATGGCTTGAGGATTCGGGCACCTTCTTAAAGTTTGCACCCGGGGGACTTGCCTCACTGGCCTTACCCTCCCCCCAGCCCTGTCCGGGCTCCCACCCTCCGGTTGGAAAACAGCAGTGACAGAAAGTCGTTTCTACAGCGAGCATGACTCTGCTTTTCCTTGTGCAGCTGGACTGTCACTTTCTGTAACTCGAATGGCCCCCCCTGCAGTCCCAAGGACCTTAGAGGCCGAGCCAGGTGTCACTCACCACGGTACAGTTAGTGCACTGGGCTCTCGGTAACCCCGATTCCCGAATGACCCGTAAGTGACTGACGGTCAGACAATCTGGAATGGCATCGCAGTGATCGTGGACGCCTTGTTCTTAGTCCCTCTCCTTGCACTCAGAAGCCCCTTGTCTCCAGAACTGCCTTCAAGCACCTTCCTGTTGCGTGTGCCATTTCAGGAGCGAGTGGTCAACTTTCCTGAATGAATGCAGATGATTTTTAAGTTCGTTTACTTATTTTGAGAGAGAGAGAGAGAGAGTGAGCCGCAGGGGGAGGGGTAATGCAGAATGAGAAACAGAGAGGGGTGGGTGGTGGGGGGAGAATCCCGAGCAGACTCCACACTGCCAGCCCAGAGGCCGACTCGGGCCCAGACCCAGGAACCATGAGATCATGACCTGAGCTGAAACCAAGAGTCTGACACTCAGCCAACTGGGAGCCACCCAGGCATCCCAGAATGCAGGTGATTTTAAAGGGCACAAACATCCTTAAAAGTGTCCTCTGAGCTGGTCACACATTGTTCACGATCCATTCGCCGAGGACTGTGGTCTCTTAGTGCGTTTTTCCGGCACCCACGGGTAAAGCAAGAGAGTTACGCTCTGTTACGCGTTCCTCTGCAAGCCTGGTTTTCCGACCTCTCACGCAAATCCTAGGTATTAAATGCTTTTTGGTAATATACAACTTAATCACCTAGAACGGGACACAGATGGAACTGTGCACAGAGGAAGATAAAACGGAACCAAACCTTTACAGCAGAACCGCGGCCTTTATGACGGTCTCGTGCGGGAACCAGTGGCTGTCCTGTTACGTTCATCGAAGCATGTTTGCTTAAAAGTGAAAACGTTCCCTGGTGACCAATACCTTTTTACCTGAGAGTGATTTCTTGGTAAAAATAAATGTCTAGATTAGCACGTCACCTAAAACGTTGACGCTTTCTGTAGAGATTTGACATCCCAGGCGCGACCTGGAAAGGACAAACAGTAACAGGGGTACCACCTTCAGGGGACCGCCTCCTCCCTCCCTGCCTCCTACCTTCAGAACATCCATCTTCCTATTTATTTGTAAATGAAGAACCTTCCCTTAAACGTGGGGACTGAAACATTTTTAACTTTGAAATGAAATCAGCTCACAACGGGGATTGAACCAAATGACATGCCATGGCGCCCAGTGTTACGTGAGGGCATGTTTTATTCAAATAGTTAACCTATATTCGTCAAGTATAATTGGTTTTTATCTTCGACTTAGCATTAGCACGTCTCCTGTATTAGCAAATGTCGAAGATACATCAGCTTCCATAACACCTGCTGGCTCCTAACTGTTTACAAGCTCTAGAGAAAGGTTTTCATTGGAAGACTCACAAACAAGCCACAGTAAGTCTCAAAGTCTGATCTGAGAGAGTGGAAGGTTGTTGGTTGTTTTTTGTTTTTTTCTTTTTTCTTTTCTTTTTTTTTTTTTTTTTTTTTTTTTTTTTT